CAGCAGCAGCCGAGCTGACCAAACAAACACTCAAACTGACCCTGGCCCACCCACTGACTGTATTTTCCTCTCACCGACTGGCCGACCTCCTCGGCCATAAGTCTCTCTCTCTCTCGGGCCCCTCTCGCATCCAGGAATTCCACCTGCTGTTCATCGAAAACCCTACCATCTCCCTTGACCTCTCCCCCCGCCTAAACACGGCCTCCTTCTTGCCCATTTCCGACACGGGGACCTCCCCTTCCCACTCCTGCCCCCAAGTTGTAGAGGCCCTCAGCCTGCCGAGGGAAGGACTCTTTGATACTCCACTGTTAAACCCAGACCGCACCCTCTTCGTAGATGGCAGCTCAATACTCGGCCCTGACGGACGCCGCCGGGCAGCCTACGCGGTAGTAACCATCTCAACCATTATCGAGGCCAACGGCTTCCCAGAAGGGACAACCTCTCAAAGGGCTGAACTGATCGCACTCACGCGGGACCTTGACTTCTCTAAGGGCCAAAGGGTCAATATCTATACAAATTCTAAATATGCCTTCCTGATTGCACACAGCCATTCAGCTCTTTGGAGGGAGTGTGAAGTTTTGACCACCAAGGGCTCCCCGGTGGTCAACGCCTCCCTCATCGCAAAACTCCTGGATGCCCTCCAACTGCCTGAGGAGGTGGCAATCATCCACTGCAGGGGCCACCAGTCTCCCTCTAACCCAATAGCACAAGGTAACTCAAAGGCCGACTCCGTGGCCCGCAAGCTCACCAAAGGGGCCCCTCCAGCTCTGATCTTGTTCCTCACCTCAATCCAACACGCATATGACCCCCACGAAGAGACAGCACTACTATCCAAAGGGGTCCACAAGGACAACAAAGGATGGATTTTTATGGACAACAAAGTTGCCCTCCCTTCAGCTCAAGCGGCCAGCCTCCTATAAGACATCCACAAGTCCCTACACATTGGCCCAAAGGCAATGTTCCGTTTCCTAGATCCCTTCTTTTATATGCCTGGACTCAGAGATGCCATCTCAAAAACTCACGCGGCTTGCCAGACTTGTGCGTCCATCTCTCCACAAGGAGGCCTACGGCTCCGAATTCCTACTCACCAGATGCGCGGACACCAACCTGGCAAGGACTGGCAGATTGACTTCACCCACATGCCCTGCTGTAAACGCTTCCAATATTTCACCTTTTCAGGTTGGATCGAGGCCTTCCCAACGGCCCGAGAAACAGCAGATACGGTCGCCACCATTCTTCTCCAACATATCGTCCCCCAGTTTGGCCTGCCTATCTCCATCCAGTCGGACAACAGACCCGCCTTCGTCTCTCAGGTGGTTCAGCAGGTATCCGAGGCTCTTCAGATCACCTGGAGACTCCATATCCCTTACCACCCCCAGTCATCTGGTAAGGTTGAACGTGCCAACGGGATCTTGAAGGACCACCTCACCAAGCTGTCCCTTGAGGTCCATATCTCGTGGCCCGATTTGCTCCCTCTTGCCCTTACCCGAATCTGAGCCTCACCTCGGACCCCTACTGGTCTCAGTCCATTCGAACTGCTCTACGGCCGCCCTTTTCTCCTCCATAACCTACCAACCCAAAACCCACCCCTAGCTTCCTACTTCCCCTACCTGTCTCTGCTCCGCCACCTTCTCCGTGAACACACTGACCGCAACCTGCCGACGGTCACTGCCTCTGAAACTTCCCCTCTCCCTCTACAACCTGGCGATAGCATCCTCCTCAAAGAATTACACCCCCAATCTCTCAAGCCACGGTGGACAGGCCCCCATACGGTGATCCTCACCACTCCTACGGCAGCCAAACTCTTGGGACACCCCTCCTGGTACCATGTCTCCCGCCTTAAAATGGCCCCAACTCCAGAGACTTGGACGGCCCAACCGCTGGGTCCCACAAGACTACGGCTTGTCTGTCACCCTGTCTCTCCTCCTGCTGCTCCTCCTGCCACCCAGGACTCACCAGATGTCCCTATGGCGCTTCCATGTCCATGGGACATGGCAAGCTAAAGGTCGGACCCACACTCGAGTCTTGGGCACGGGGGACTGCCAACCAGATGGGTGCCAGGCCCTGGTGACAGTCCAGATCCCCATCTCTAACATAGAAGGTGTTCCCCTGGGTTGGTCCACCCCCGCTGTCTGCTTCACTTACGATCAGACCAGAGACTACTGTCAATGGTGGGATGAGACCTATGGGGGGTGCCCCTATCACTCATGTAACATCCATGTGGCAAAACTAGATACCAGGAGCTCGCTCCAACAATCCCACCTGCTCACCACAAATGGCAAGGGTCAATTATTCATTAACATCAAAGATCCCTGGGACACAAGATGGGTAAAAGGGGTACAAGGAAAAATCTACCGGTGGGCAACTGATGCCTACCCTGTGGGCTCTATCAGGGTCTTCCGCTCATACGTCAGAGTGATCCCTGAAATTATCCAGCACTTGAGCGAGCAGGCCACCATGGTCCAGGAGACAGAACAGGCCCTAGAACGCCAATTACCCCACCCTGACCATAAGACGGACCCTTTTTCTTGGTTGGCCCTCATCCGCCAAGGGGTGCAAATGCTTAATCACACCGGAATAGGCAACATCTCTGACTGCTTTCTATGTGCCTCACTTGGCCGACCACCATTAACTGCTGTCCCACTCGACCAGCCCTTCACCTCTACCCTCCTTAATTCCTCCCAGAACTTACCTTTTCCCCCTTTAAGAGTCCCCATATTCCTTGATTTAGAAAAAAAGAACCTCACAATTTGCTATGGCAGCCGACCAAACTTAACTAATGATGCACTCCCTTGCAACTCATCCCTCCCTGTAACTACGCCAATGGGGGCCCCACCAGGTCTGTTCTTTTGGTGTAATGGCTCCCTTACAAAAGAGATCAACTCTTCCTCCCCCTTTCCATGTATCCCCGTCACCCTTGTTCCACAGCTCACATTATATGGCGAAGCCGAATTTCTCTCACTTACCACACAACTCTTCAGCCGACAGAAAAGGGCCATCTTTCTCCCTATGGTAGCAGGCATTTCCCTCGCCTCCTCCCTCGTTGCTGCAGGCATCGGGGGAGGAGCCCTGACACACAGTGTCTCAACATCCCGCAACCTAGAAGAGAAACTCCAGCTAGCCATTGAGGCCTCTGCCGCCTCCATCACCTCCCTCCAGCGCCAGATCACCTCAGTAGCCCGAGTTGCCTTCCAAAACCGACGCGCCCTGGACCTTCTGACAGCCGACAAAGGAGGTACCTGCCTCTTCCTACAAGAAGAATGCTGCTACTATATCAACGAGATAGGGGTCGTTGAGGACAATGTGGATGCTCTCCGACGCTTAAAAGAAGAACTCCAACGCAGGCAGCGACAATCCACCTCCCCCATCCCCGACTGGTGGCGGTCCTGGCTGACACCAATCCTAGGCCCCTTAATCCTTATCTGCATCCTATTCATGCTTGTCCCCTGTTTCCTCAGGTTTCTCCGCAATCACATACAAGAAGTATCTCGGGTGGCGGTGAATCAGATGCTACTCCACCCATATACCTTACTACCCACAGAACCCCCCGCTGCCGCCCTCCCCTAATCTCCGGACTGTTGGCCGCCCGACTCCCCTCCAGCGCCCCCATACAGCAGGAAGCAGCCAGAGAACAAACGTCGCCCCATTACACCAAAGAAGTCAGGATGTAAGGCCAGCAGGTCCGGGGAAGGGCCCAGGGAGCCAGACGGAACCCCCACCAAGGTGGTTGATGCAGCCGACCCACAAGTGGCATCAGCCCGGGACTTTCCACCTGCCCAGGAAACAGACCCGGGACTTTCCACTTGGCCCCGGCTTTCGCGCTCCCCGAGGGGCGGAACCAACGGCGGCTCTAAGGCTGATGCAACCGGCACCCGACATTGCCACAACACCCGAGAGATTACCAAAAAAGGGGCTGCTTCACACAGCAAGCACCTCCCCTGCGTCCACCCCTATAAATTTGGTTCGTGCCTGCACCCGGGCGCGACTTCCCTGGCCCCTTTCTCTCGGACCAGTGAACCTCGCCTGGGAGCGTTCCCAAATAAAGCTTGCTTAAGCTCTCCTCCGTTTCTTGGTGCCGTTCCTTACAGTTTTCTCATGCAAGAAGTTGAGACAAGCATAGACAAGTTTTCATGGGACAAGCAAACTACGTTGTTTGTAATCTGAAGATAAAGGTTCCCCTTCTGCAAGATCAGGTGAACTATACCTTGTATCACCATGAGGACTTTAGCCTTGAGGAGGCAGTTTAAATAGGTTAGCTAAGATTGGAGGAGGGAGCAACATGTGGCCTAGGAGGGCAACCATTTCCCATCCGCCCCACCCTAATTCAGAGTGGTCAGCCAAAGAAATTACAGCAAACAGGAGCAAAACATGCCAGATAGGTCAAGTTCTGAAGTCTTCATAATCATTTTGGCACAGAGAGAAATAAAGATAAATAACAACTGAATTTTTCACTACAAACCTGTAAACTGCAGCATTCTACAGACATACTATAGAAACTCAGGTTGACTCTTTCCTAGTCATGATTAACCTGTGTTAGTATGCCCAATGCTTTTCATATTTTTTGAAAAACCAAGTTGCTTATAAGGGGATCTGAACTTAAACTTCTCATGAGGTCTGCTTAAGATGTTATCTTTGTTAAGTTTGTGAGGTAAGGTTTTTTTGTTTGTTTTTAATTCCTGGGAAGAAGTGTAGAGAGACTTTTCCAAAAGGTAACTAAGAAACGTTAAGTGTTCTCTGAGTCTTTGTTACATACAGTTGTATTCAAAATGTATTCCTAGTATGTCTGGTATACATACATATACACACGGAGATACCCCCATACACATGTAAAAAGAAAATCTAATAAAAGTTACCACACACAAATGCAAGTGAAAAAGAGTAAAATCAAACTGCACAGGGAATATATTAAGTATTTAACCAAAATTCTGCATAGTTTAAGCATAATCTAGAAAAATAAAAGTGAGCTCAAAAATCAAATTAAGTGACAATAAAGTCCATACCTAACAGTCCAGTGTGTACATCATCTTCATTCTTCAAATTTTCAGCATGTAACTCTGTAAGTACAAAAAGGGCTTGGGTAAAAAAGACAGTTTTATAATTTGAAAAGTAGCTCAAAGGCCAGAAAGACATTGTGGAGTTGTGGAAAGCACTCTGGAGCCCAAAACAAGTGGGTTCAAATTCTGATTCCATTTAATAGCTAAGTGACCTTCAGTAAGCAAATAAGATGTCTTTATGAGTCAACTGCCATGTATATAAAATGGGAATTTTTATTCCCTAGACATTTTATGTAATGCGAATTACTAGGTTTTGAGTTCAGCTCCTTTCTCTACCCTCCAAAATAAGCACAGCTCAATGTGTCCTGCAATGTACTTCAACTTATCAGGTTTTGTGACTTTATGAACAAAGGCAATCTTTCAGAGCAAAAGAATTAAACTACCTACAAGACAAAACTCTGAGCTGCTTTGAAAAAATGGGGGAGGGAAGTGATAGAGGAAAGAAACATTGGCACCCATATTTAACATTGACAATTTACACCCAGTATCATTGTTTGAAGAGGTAAAATTCTCATATTAACTTGCCAATCTGTCTTGTGCATGAAAATCAAGCATGGTAAAGTGTTAGATGCCATCTACACCCCACTAGGGGCTTGGAAGCAATGAGGAAAAGTAAAAACTGGAATTAAATAGATTTAATTCTACTTAGTGAAGTAAAATACTTGAGTGGCAATGTGTTGGGTGCTTTTCATACAACAAACTAAGGTATTTTTTCTTGTTTTAATTTTTCTTTTTCAGTAACTTAACCAAAGTCACACACCACTGAGAACTGAACTTTAAACTGACGTCTGACTCTTTCCACTGCAACATAAAATATCCAACCACATAATACATCTGTATAAGCTTTAGAAAACCTTTCAAGGCACATCTCTTTCTATTCCAACCTGGCCAATATTTCAACTTAAGACACGGAAAATAACACCATTAATCAGAGAAAGAACCTACTATCTTGCTCCTGCAACAGAACTTCACCACTATACTGGGTTGCAAACCTAATTCAAAACCCAGGAGGGTCTATTTTACCTATGCAAGTATAAATTTGGGTTGGGATGGAAATCCTTGTCCTTCAGCAATTCAACGTGTACAGAGGAATCAGTGGATTGTACATCTTTAACCATTTGTGGATTAAACTCTTTGAACGTGTATAACCTAATAATTACACTTTGCACCGTTCCTTTAATGACGGTTGTTAGGCATTTTGCTTGATTTTGCCAATATTTTACCGCAAGTGTTCACCGACTTTAAGATATTTTTTCTTCAAGACTACCCACTTATCAAGACCCTTTCTTAAAATGGGTCTCCTGATCACGGACCAAAGTCCTCTACCTTTAAGGAAAGAGAAGACAAGGGAGAAGATCAAAGAAAGGTGCGGACGAGGACTCTGGATGAAAGCGGCTACCAGCTTGCCGGCCTTTGACGGAGCGAGGGCGACGAAGGGGAGAGCCACGTCCAGGCTCAACTAAAGTAAACTCTGGACACACTTTCAAGGCCTGGGCTTCATTCCGTACCTTTTACGATCAGGTAGGTGATAGCGAGAAGGAAGGCGAGGAGGATGGCAAACAGCAGCGAACAGAGAACTGAGAGGACCTGAACCGGCCAGCGCCGGGCTTGGGCTCTGCCGCCCGCATCCGCCGAGAAAATACCATTGCGTTTATCGGGCAGGGCGGGAGACCCGTCCCCATCTGGCCGGAGTAGCGAGTCCTTTCTAGGTTCCGATGACGCCCCGGCCGAGAACTCCGCCCGCAGGTCACGGGCCACTCGGTTGCATCCCTCCTCCTCGTCGACTTCACCCTCACCCCAGCTGTCTCCCTGAGTGAAAGCGGAAAACGCCGGTTGATCAAACGGGACAGCAGTGCCTAGACGGCGGCGAGAAGGGGCTGGGCGCCTCCCACTCTCCACGAACGACATGGCGGGAAAGACAGTTAGGTCCGCAGAGGTCAGGCGTCGCCCACCTGCCCCGCCCCGCGGTCGCAACAGCCAATCAACGGCCAGGCCCTCCACGGCCTCCACCACCTGGCCCCGGCGCGCAGGGGTGCACAAGGGTGCGTGGCTGGGCGAGGAAAGTGCCGTGGGGCCCGAGAAAACGCTGGGCGCCCCCGGACCAGAGCATGACCCTCAAGTAGTACGAAGGAAGGGGCGCAGTGAAGTGCGCGGAGAGAGACAAGCCGAGGCCCAAGGCAGCCGAGTGTCCTCTCCCTGCAGTGCTTAGTCCGGGCCAGCGATCTCCGCCGCCGCCGCCGCGTCACCTCCATGCAAGCTCGCGCCCCGGCAGCCCCAAAGCCGCACCTCCCCGACGCTCGGTCCTAGCGCCCGCCCATGCCCCTCTAATACACATTCCGGAACCTATTTGCTTTCTCTCTTCTTCCCCTCTACGCCTGCACTAGCCCCGGCTTCCCTCATTAACGGCAGCTCAGCTCGCCACGCCCTCGCCTCCCTTAACTGCCCTTTCCTCCTTCCCTGTCGCATTGTTCTCCCCGCCCCTACCACAACTTCCCTCCACACCGCTCGGCACGCCTCCTCCCCCCACCCCGGCGCGCGCTCGCCAGCTGGTGCGTACAGAGCTCGAACCCGCTCCTCACGACCCCTCCTCTCGCCTTCCCCGCCCCCTCCCTCCACCTCGAGCCCCGCGCGCGCGCATCCAGCCCCGGCCACCGCTAACGCAAGAAGCTGCTTACTCCACCCCCACCCCACCCTACCCCACCCCCGGCGGCCTCAGGTTTGCGGGGCGTACGTGACTCGGGGGGGGGTGAAGGTGGCAGGCCCCCACTGCCCCACCCCCTACGGGGTGAGGCTGTCTAAGCTCGGGAAGCTGGGATACAGTTGTCTTCCCTTCCCCGGGGGAAGTTGGTGGAGTTTTCCCGGCAGAGGAGTCGGCGCAGAAACTTCCTCCGTCCCCCTATTCCCCCCTCCATGCAGGCGAGGCCGAGTGAGGCTGAGGCTGGGGGCGAATCGCCGAAGAGCTGCGTGTCGGCAGCGCAGTCTGATTGGACAGCGGGGAAGCCTGTCAGCTTATTGGCCCCGCTGATCCCGCCCCGTAGCGCAGGGCAGCCTTTAACCTTTAGCCCCAGTGGGCGCCAGCCACTCAGATCGCTTCTTGTTGGTATGTGTAGCGGCAGTGGCCGCCGGCGGAGCAGTCTGAGTCCGACGATGAGGCCGGGGACGGGAGCCGAGCGTGGAGGCCTCATGGTGAGTGAAATGGAGAGCCATCCTCCCTCGCGGGGTCCCGGGGACGGGGAGCGGAGATTGTCCGGCTCAAGCCTCTGCTCCAGCTCTTGGGTCTCTGCTGACGGCTTCCTGAGGAGACGGCCCTCGGTAAGGGATCGGTGGGGCAGGGGGAAAGCGGCACAATGAAAAACGGAGTCAGAGACAGGAAGCTTTCTCCAGGAGGAGAAGATGAGAGTGGACGAAGGAAGAGCTCGAGATGGTGGGATATGTTCCGAGGGAGAGAAATGGGAGGGCGGGGATGCACAAAGGAAAGGAAGTGGGACCGTGGAAGTTCCCAGTGGGTTTGGCCTAGGCAGATGCGCGGTGGAGGTGCTGGGCCCTAGGCGGGGTGAGCGTTTTGGAGAGGTAGGCCCGATTAAGCAGGCGGGGGGAAGGCAGAGACTTTCTTCGGTAGACTTTAATAGAGGCTGCCAGAATTTCTTCACTAGTAGTAGTGTTGTCTGCAGCGGGGGGACAGCTGGGAGAATTGGCAGGAGATAATTTCCTGCTTTTAAGACCTGTAACAATGGACACACAAGTAAAGAAAGTAGTTGTCTTATAAAAGCGCGTTAAGATGGATGAATTAGTTGTTTGCATTTAGTGTCCGTGAGTGACAGACCTCATTCTTTGGGTTTTTTGTTTTGTTTTGTTTTTTGCAGGAGTAATTTTAGCTGTGTTAGAGATTCTCTTAGGAAATAATATGTTTGCTTGTTAGGAGGGAAGTGTCCCCGGGTATCCAATACTGTTTGTTTTGTGTAAGACCAGCCCTCATCTGAGTTAATTGGGTAAATTCAGCGTTTTAAAGCTTAAAATCATCTTAGACGTGAATTTAAGAATAAATGAAGTTATAAAATAAAAATAGTTGACTAGCTGATATCTGTGTGAAGTAGGACAAAGTTGTGGTTTTCACCATAACAGTTAAGTTGGCCTTCACATGCATTTCCTCCCAGTTTAGCAAACCAGTTGGTAACTGATTAAATCAGCATACTTAAAACAACAACAACTACGAATTAGGTGTCCAGTGATGATTTTAATTTTTTCCATTTTGTTCTGAAATTTGGTCAGGTGCAAGCTCATAAATACTGGTGTTGTACATTTTATTTAAGACAAGAAAGTATAAACGAACTCAGTAATTAAATCACACATTAGCCAGATATTATGTCATGCATATAACTGATTTGTAGAAATCAGATTTTTGAGAAGCATTTATTGGTACTTACTAATTTTTAAATTGTCCCTCTTTTTCAGATGGGGCACCCTGGCATGCATTATGCCCCAATGGGAATGCATCCTATGGGTCAGAGAGCGAACATGCCTCCTGTACCTCATGGAATGATGCCGCAAATGATGCCCCCAATGGGAGGACCACCAATGGGACAAGTAAGAATGTTTTGTTTTTGTATTTCTTTGTTTACTTTTGCCTGTGGTATTCTTGTGTCAAAGAATTTCAAAATCTGGGTCAATACTTACAGCTGTTTAAGTTTCAGTTTATGCCAGAATAATGTTTTTAAGTGAAATGTTGTATAATCATGACAGTAACCAAATTTTGAGTGTAATGAAAAATCTGTATAAGAGATTTACTTTCTACAGCAACAAAATTGAGTTGTTTTTGTTTGTTTTTTTAAATTTAAAAGTAGCAAAGTACATGTAGGCTTTTTAGTTTAATGACTTTCCCCCCAAGTATGTCAATTGAAGTAAATATGCTATGTCAATATAATTTTTGTTGGTGGACCTTGTACATGCATAGAATCTGAAAACAGCAGTTGTTTAGGCCTTTGGCTTAGGATTAATTTTATTCCTGAAAAAGCTTCCTGGTGTGTGTGTGTGTGTGTGTGTGTGTGTGTGCGCGCGCGCAATGGGGGTGGAGGTGGGAAGGTTCTACTCTGATTTGGTTCTTCATAGGACGGTGCCAAATAGGTAGTTTATTTTCCACTTACACTATTTTGTTTTTTTTAAATGATTTTTGCTTCTGCACTTCTGCTTTTGAGCTGTCCCTTCCATCTCCAGCATAAATTGTAAACATTTTGTGGGAGTGATTTGGACCAAAAGGTTTTAATGCTGACTCAGTGAGTTCAATAGAACTTAATTCCTAGAAAAGCATCCAAGAAAGGTAACAGGTTCAGTTACCGTAAATAATTTTATGCCCCCTGTTAGGTTCTATAATACACATATACTTTGGTGGCTGGGTTCTTTCCATTTAGTGTTTCAATAAATCATCAAGTATTTAGGGTAACAAAATATTTTGGAAAGCCAGTCAATTAGGTATGATCTTTCTGCCAGTTGGGGGCATCATTTGCTTTGATAATCATTTAAGCCTTGATGGTTTGAATTATTGGTGAAATTGTAGTGGAGAAAGGAGCTCGCTCTGTGTGTATGTTTTTGTTTTTTTTTTTCTTAAGAATAGAAGGGCTTAATGTCAAGTGGTTTTCTTCTTTTTTATTTAAGGTATTTAAGAGTATAGCCCTTAATTTTGTATAAAAAGCTTTATTCAGAGGCACCAGGCCCAAAAGATTCTGCCTGTAGGAGTTCTTTAAATAAAAGAACTATTTATTCTGTTACTCTAGGATAGCACAAGTTTTAAAACTCCCTAGGTGATGGAGAAACAACTCTGATTCCTCTTCTGTTTCTTTCCATCTCTAAGCAGCAAGGAGCTCTTCTTGTTTTCTCAGTAGAGCTGCTCTAACTAGATAATGAGCTTTAAAAAATATTTATTCTTTAAATGCTCTGGTTCTTATTTAAAATTAGTTTCTTTCCACAGAAAGATAAAATAAAACAATTTGCTACTGCCAGATGCTTCTCTCTTTTCTGGGGCCTTCTGTTTCCATTGGGCCAATCAAGGTAAGTTTTGCAAGGGATTGACCTGCTTGCCCTTGCTGTATTGGTGCTGTTGCACTACCAAAACCAAGATACCAGCTAGTCATTTTGAGTAAAATGCAGATTTTATTTTTTAAGTACTCATGTATCTCATTGACATAAGCTGGTCACAGTTTGCTCTATGGCCCTTTCTCTTTAGCTGTGTAGTGACCATCTTCCTAGTAAGGTTATTTGCTACTTGGTACACATCCATTCAAATACTCTGAATTTTACCTTGTGGTTTTCTTCTACTTCTTTCCTAGACCAGTATATGCCATGTGCCTTTAAGCGTACCTGACTGTTTAGATGTTCAGAAGTCTCTCTCTGTTGGCTCCTGTTAGGATAACGATTGAATGACTTAAGAACCCAGCTCTGAGGAACTCAAGAGAATACCCATTTTTTTTTCCCTTAGATTATTCCTTTTTTTCCTCTTGATATCTAACAAATATGGGGCCCAAGTCTTGGTAAAACAAATTCTTGTTTTAGCTTTGATAACAGAGTGGGAGGGCATGGATAATATAAACAGTCATGTATTCAGAAATCTAATTTAAAGCCCTATAAACAACTACCTTAAAATAAAAGTTGATAATTCGCAAACTTGATCCTTTTTTCTGCATCATGTCTTCTGTCTACCCGCCCTCAGAAGTATAAGTGAGCAGTAAGTGATCAGAAGATAATGAGAAGAAGCAGGATGCCTATATAGCTCACTGCAGTGACACAAAGTTGGTAGGGTTCTGTCATCAAATTTTAAATAGTTAATTCACAAATTCTTTAGACTTTGCAATTGAAGGTTATGGAACCTTCATGTATATTGCCTAGTTCACATTAAGATCTCATTCTGGGACCAGCTGAGGACTAAAATTGGTGGCAGTCTTACTTGCTAAGTGATTGTGGTCTTTGGGATGTTACTGAACATGACATGAAATTTTAAAACTTGTTTGTAAAATAATATGCAGACTGGACATAACAGTCTACAGAAACCAGAGTTTGTACTTTTTGAAATGCAGCAGATGATTTAGATTAGAGGAGTAGCATGTTTGTTTTAGTTCAGGAGATAACCTAGAATGCCTTTTTAGAATTTAGGATGAATCTATTAGTAGTAATGGATATTTGGAAATTATCAAATAGGTCTTAATAATATTCTTTCAAGTTTATCCT